TGTTCTGAGTTTCTACTCTTTTCTCATTCATGGCGTTTAGTTCTTCGAGACACAGCTTGGCATTTTGCTCATTGATAAGACCTTTAATAGCAATCTCGAGAGATGGAGTTTTTCATTTCAAAGGGAGCAGTCTCAACTTCATACACAAGGAAATAAGGAGTTGTGTTGGGAGTATGATGAGTAGTTCAATATACCCATAGTGCTCTGTCAATTCTTTCATGTCAAACATGATTAGACTTTGAAACAATTTTCTTAGGAAGATTACAAAGGGTTTTTATTAAAGATTTTCGCTAGTCCATTCACAGTAACATTGTACATGGAAGAAAATGTTGGGCAAGCTTAAACCTTGTATATAACTTGTTCATGAGGCTGTTATTAAAAGACTTGTCATTATTTATAATTATATACCTTAGGATACTATATCTTTTGATGATAGTGAGTAGATAATAGTAACCTAAATAAAATCAACAACTTTTTTTTTTTTACTTCTCTCAAAGTTATAACTTATGTGCATTTTGAAAAGTAATCAATTATTGTTAGGATATATAGATACTCAACCAAGGAGTTTGGCGTTAGGGTTCCAATGAAGCAAGCTAGCAATATACGTTGGGAAAATGTGGTGACAAATCGAAAGGCTTCAACCATAGGAGAACTATAGAACTTTGTCAAGAGAATGTGAGGCTAATGGCAATCCTAGGAGCCTTGTTGCTTAGGCATTGATTCTACAAGGGACAAAGGATGGGGTCAATTAAATTATAAATCTCGAAACCAAAACCAGAAAGAATCAAAGAAATTGGACAGTGGGGATAATCCATGGGGATTTAGCATTGTCCCAATAATGGAGCTCCTAGCAATCAACCATAGGCTGATAGGAGAAATTCAAGAGGTGGGAAACAGCAAGACAATTATAATAATATGATAAGAGAGTTAGGTGTAAGAAAAGGCAATGGTGATTGGGAAGCCCGGAATGGTTGTATTCGAAAGAGGGAAGGTTCTATTCGATATATGAATGATTACAAAAGCTCCAAGGTTCAAAGGGATGATAACAAGACAGATCACTTTTGGAGAAGTGGAAAAAGCTAACAAAAGGGGCGGTTTTTGCTTTCAACTAGATCGTTATATATTATGCAACAAATTACCAGAGGTTCTCATCCACAACAAAAAGGGTCAGGTGTTTTGCCGAGTTGGTTTATTGTAGGCACCATGCTGAAGCTGCTAATACTTTTTGTTTTGTTATTCCTTTGCTTGTATTGAAGGTTGGCTTTCTGTTTCTTTTGTGCAATTCATTCCGATATATACAATAATAAGAGTAGACCGTCCCTTTCATCGTATTTGATGAAAAGATCAAAACAACAGTGTTGACTTATGATTCATTTATTATCCTAATTTTTGTTAGAATTGAGAGGTTATAAAGCCTTGGTGAAATGGGTTTTCGCATGAAT